GAGCTGCAGTTCATGTCTGGGATGAATTTCACAGACTCTTCACAGCTTTTCATTTTCGGTCCTCATCATCCTTTGATAGAAAGAAGAGCTCCAGTACTTGACCCCCCTTGTACATTTTGTTCTCGACCCTGCAGGTTAGACTGGAGTCGAGCTGCAGCCGATACAGTAGATACTGTATTCATGAAACGTTTGCCACTGAAACTGAAGCGCAGCACCATGGCTGAATAGCTTTCATTAATATTTCTGACTCAGTGGAAGTTGAACACCTGGCATTACTAGATCCTCCTGGCACTGCTGCAGGTGTTTCATCAGAAACTTAACAACCTTTTGACCTGAAACTTTCCACAACTGGAACATTTGGGAGACTGTGGAGCTCAGTTCTTTGTATTTGTGTTGCGGTTCGCTCCACTCCTTTCATAGTCTTGTTTCATGTTCACGTCCCTCTGTTATTTAGTCCTGTAATGCATCTCCATTTCTTCCCAATGCTGTAATAAACCTCCGGTCTATTCCTCTCAAACATGCCTATCAGGACTTTAACATGGTGGTCTGGAGCACACGTCAGTGCTGGTTCAGCTGCAGTCGTTGCAAATGTGTTTGCTAGTTCCTGTTTTATGTTTATTGAAATCCCTGTTGTGATGAAACAACACATTTTTTCGACCAAACAGGACTGACAGCTGTTAGCTTCACCTGAAAACACCTGGAGTATGAAAACAGTTATGAACGTGCTGATCAGAGCTGAAATTAAAAAAAGAAAAAAACAATAAAGCAAAACGAAATGACAACTTAATGTTCTTAATGTTCTGTGAACAAAAATGGCATGAGTTGACTGTGTCCGTGCACATTAGAAATGTTAAATATGCATTATATTGTTCTCCCTGCCATGTTCTACATCAGCAACATGAACAATGTCTCATAAAGCTGGTATTTAAACACAAGAGGCTTAACAACACTGAGCAGATATCGCTGCAGCAGCTGCAGCACGTCAGGTTTGGAAACAGCTTCCAACTGTTAAAATGTCAAACGATGAGCTTCATTTTACAAAAGTTACATACAAAGACACACACACACACACACACACACACACACACACACACACTCACACACTGATGTCTTCCACCAGTGGGACCAGTATCAAAGTACACAGCTCACTCTCAAGCTCTGAGGGAAGTGTAAACTCACTGGTTTGGTATTTGTGTGATTGTGAGTCTGCAGGGCACTGAGACATGAGCGCACTATCATTAAGTAAAACACAGATTCATTGAGCATCATTCTCAAAACCTCCCCCTCTGAACAGGATCACAATCAGCTGATTATTAATTGATCTTTAGGTAAATATTTAGTGATGAAGTGAAGCAGCTCTGTGGAACAGCTGTGCAGCAGCTTCAGGATGATCTCCACTGACAGAGTGGCCTTTCCTGCTACACTCACACACACATGCACACACAACAATCACAAGCTACACACACACACACACAAACACACACTCACACACTCATGCCAAGACAATGGCCTGTTAATCCTTGCTTCTGATTGGATGAGTCCAGATTACCCAGAGGGCACCAGCTGTCGAGGAGAGGCAAGGCCCAGTTTCCTCAGTATCAACACACACACACACACACACGCACACACACACACACACTCCACCGGACATGCCACTCTGCTCATTAATACTAAATTAATGCAGACTGATGCTGAAGTGTTTACCCACAGACTGTTAGCACGAAGCTACACCTGAAATCTCGCGCTCACGCCTCGTTTGTATGATTTATTAGTTCGTCACCACGTTCGTTTGTCCAGACCGAAGCATTCAGCTGCTGTCAACAGCGACTGTTTGTCACTGCTGTCGACACACTGTAAAAATAGGAATGGGAATTCATACCACTGTAATGCTGACAGCCATTACAATGGGCCAGTGTGGCCAGGTAGCCGAAAGCTGCGAATGCCTGAATGTGCTGTGTGTTTTATTTTTAGCCTCTGTTGTTTCACCGCTCCGCCATGCTGCACCATGAATCCTCAAATCCAGGCTTTTTCGAAATATTCAAATTCATATTCAAATACACAAATATTCACAGTTTAAGAAGTTTTCTTTGTGCAGAATTTTCATGAGAAGAAAACTGACAAATACTTTTATGTCATCTTTTTTTCTTTAATACGCTTTTGCAGTTTCATAAATGCAACGTGACTCTCACCATTGTTGCTTCTGAATTTTATTAACTAAATTGGTCTTAAAATAAATTCCAGGCAGCATTAAAATAACATTTTTAATTTAGTTCTCTGCCCTTACACCACGATGAACCACCAGTTCCCAACCCCCACATACACACACATACAGCAGCTTTTATCCCTCATTCCCTCAATCCCCCTGCTCCCATGCAGGGCAGCCACAGAGGGCCGAGCCGGGCCAAACCGAGCCAGTCCAACAATGCAGGGAGAGGGAGGGGACGGGAAGCGCTAACTGACACACTGCTGGGCCGAGATAAGAGCGGATCCCGCCAAATACTGGAGTCCAGGGAGAGAGACGGAGAGAGAGAGAGAGAGAGAGAGAGAGAGAGAGAGAGAGAGAGAGAGAGACATGGAAGAGGGAGACAAGGAAATGAGGGAAACGAAAAGGGAGATAAAGCGAGTTAGCGGGGGGGAGGAAGGAAGGGAGAAAGAGAAACGGGAAAGAGGAAAAAGAAACAATAAAGGCTAAAAGAGAGAGAGAAAAAGAGAGAGAGAGAGAAAGCGGGGGGGCAAAGAGAGATTTACTTTCAGTGTGTTGTTGAGATAGAGTCAGACTGAGAGGCTTTGCATTGGCCTAGATTCTCCACTGTTACACCCTCTGTCTGTCTGTCTGTCTGTCTGTCTGTCTGTCTGTCTGTCTGTCTGTCTGTCTGTATTATTGGGACACAGAGGAGTTTGTCATGAAAACACCGACTGAGTTTAAAGTGCTGATTTCCAGCTGTTAAGAATCACACTTCTGGTTTTGCGTATTTTGGCCTATTTACTAAAAGTCGTATATTTTACATTGCAGCTAATGATTTTGCAAACTGTTGTGTTTCGGTATTTTTACAGCCATCGGTTTCTTTCATTTATATAAAGCAGGAAAATAAATGAGCACACTCCTGAACCTCGCTGGAGCTGCATGTGTAAACATCAGAGTAAAGATCACAAACACATTCTTGTGACAAATAATTATTTTTATTAGGGTGAATTTGCAGAACAGATTGTTTTGATTTAATCTGCGCTTAAACTGCATCACAACAGCTGAAGTCATATAACCTTGACAAAAAAAGTGAAAAAAAAGTGAATGCAGACCTGATGTTGACTGTGATGGATTACAAGTGAAACAAGTTTTAAAAGCCTCTCATTGATTTTCATATTGTAGGAAAGTGAACTGGGTTAACTGCGAACTAGTGGGAAAATATGAATAAAAATATCTAAACTTATGAAACTTTGTGTATTTTAAAATGCTAAGCAGAGATACAACACATTGATGAAGAGCTGCTAAACATACTTTCGTTGTTTTTTAACAATGACAATAAAGATCTATCCTATTCTATTCTATTCTATTCTATTCTATAATGCACACCTGTTCTGTAACAAAAGAGTTCAAACATGAGAGATCACATGCACATCATGTGTTTGTATCGCTTTTATTCATTTTACTAATCTATGAATTTACCAGTTACTCTCGGTCTCACACAGGATCATGATTCCAACAGTGTTCAGCTTGATTTTAAACAGCATCAAATTGAAGCCAAGTCCTGCCTCTCAGTGTTTCATGTCAAATCTGTTTCAGCACAGAGACAAAACACAGACCTCCATGAATGTGTTACTGTGCCGCAGCAGACTGCACCGTTTATGAATGTCTGATTTTCTCTTGATCGCCAATTCAGTCGCTCACTTTCTAATCGTGTAAACACTCAGTGTTTGGTCACATGTTCCTGGAGAAGCAGAGGCAGTGCATGAACTGTAACATACAGTGTGTCGGCACGTGCACTGTATTCACACACGCACAAATGCAAACTTATAGTTTTTTTTTCATATTTTTTAAGGTGTTCTGCTGCATTTTGAATTTCTCTGCGAACATAAATCCCATATTTCTCGTGCTGCAGTAGCGGAGGATAAATCCTCTGCACCTCCACAGCTTTTTGATTTGTGTTATAGACTTTAGCAGGTTTGTTTGGAGCTGATATAAATCTCCAAGGTACAGCTTTTAAAGCTTACGCACATGTTCGGCCCAGACTGAAGCAGCAGTTTGGAAATCATCGCGTCGTCTTTTATTTTTCATGCGACCGGGGGATTAATGTCGACGTCCATGGAAACAGACGTAAACTGAGTGTTTGTGAGAAGATGCAGCGGAAATGTGAAGTCTACGTTGTGTTCTGCGTGTGAGGTCGAGATCACATCATTTTTTTTCTCGGCTTAATTTACGTTTTAGACATTTAGCTCCAAACTGACTTTGTGCTGTCAGACTTCCGTCTTCTTCATCTCCCTGTCTCGCAGTGATCGAGACGTATTTTGTGTTAAACTCTGCTTTTCCTCAACACACTTCAAGCAATCTAATCTAATATGTAATTACAAGTTTCTAATTAATTTTCTGCTATAAATGTCTCGCACCACACACAATTTAACATGTGTTCCTTTTTCTCCACTTGGATCTTCAGTTTCATTTCTTGATAATTCTTCGCTGTTACTTTGCTGTTACTATACGTTGCTGCAGCAGCACGTATACTCTCCCAGTGGAGATCGTAACAGTTTCTTTTCTTTGTCTCACAGTTGTTATTTTTTTGAACAGCTGTATGATTCATTTTCATTCTCACATAAAATAATGAAAACAGAAAATTCTTTCCGTCTTTAAATCAGAATCCTGCACAGCATCCAACCTTTACCTGCTCCACCCACCTGCTTAAGATGTTTATTGAATTAGCTCTTAATATGTCCTCCTTTTGCTGTCAGTTTAAACTCACCCTGACCTGTCTGTGTGTGTGTGTGTGTGTGTGTTTGTGTGTGTCCAGGCACGACAGAGCGGGTGTGTCTGATCCAGGGGACGGTGGAGGCGCTGAACGGCGTCCATGACTTCATCGCCGAGAAGGTGAGGGAGATGCCTCAGAGCACCCAGAAGACAGAGCCGGTCAGCATCCTGCAGCCGCAGACCACCGTCAACCCAGACCGTGTCAAACAGGTCAGTCTGACTGTCGCTTCTATTGTACTCTGTTCTATTCCAGGAAACTCACAGCAACTCCAGGCTATCCCTACAATTATATGTGTGTGTGTGTGTGTGTTTATTAGTTTTGTTTGTGCGTGTGTGCCAAGCTCTGCCTCGGCTGAAGGGCTGCGTGAGGAAGAGAGGGAGGGAAGTGTTTGCCTTTGGAACGACAAATGGTGTGTGTTTCTGTGGTCGACTTGTGATTTTCTGTTTGAGTGAAGCTGAATGAAGAAGAAGAAAAAAAGAAAAGTGACAGGCAACCGTACAGACATGAAACAGACGAGGGAGGGAGGGAGAGAGAGGGAAAAGGCAACAAGGAGACAAGAGTGAAAAAGATAGAAATAAAGAAAGAGTGAAGGAGAGGAAGAAGAGAGAAAAAGAAAAAAAAAGTGGAAAGATGGAGGGAAGAGAAAAGAGAAATAGAGCGGTTGAGGAAGAAAGATGAGATCCATTGAGACAGGATGCAGTGAGTGAGGTGTGAACATATAAACTCCACATGTGACATGAACTGTTGGCTGCTACACTACACACACACACACACACACACACACACACACACACACACATACACACACACACCCACACACATACACACACACCGGACCCAAAAAAAACATTCACAACCACACCACACACACACACACACACACACACACACACACACACACACACACACACACACACACCCCCACACACATACACACACACACCCCCACACACATACACACACACCCACACAAACACATCACACACACACACACACACACAAACACAGACATCAAGTTTGTGTGATCATCTTAACGGAGAACAATGCACTTCAACTTTCCATCCCACTGACTTCTTCTCTCTCTCTCTCTCTCTCTCACTCTCTCTCTCTCTCTCTCTCTCTCTCTCTCTCTCTCTCTCTCTCTCTCTCAGTTCTCTCTCTCTCTCTCTCTCTCTCTCTCTGTACTTGGACCAGCTGTTGGGGAGTTTGTGGTTGGAGGATGAGTTGTTGTCACTGTCGCCTCCCAATATGGAAGATGTTTATGTAACAATGTTGTGTTATTGTAACTAAACACTCATTGACAGAAGCTTGTGCCATGAAATATTAAAGCAGGATCACGTCTGCTGTCATTGCTCATGCAGCCATTCAGCCTCTGAGCAGTGAGGACCTTTTTATACTCTGTCTCCTCTAACGTCACTGTTTGCAGTAGCATATTTTGTCCATAAGGTGGCTGAGGACATCATTTCCACCGGGGATGCCCCTCACTTTCCAAAATCCTGTTTTGTTTTTTTTTTTTTTTCCCTTGGATTTTGCTTCTCAGGACACAAGCGGCTCCACCTCCTGCATGGAGGTTTGCAGCTTGTGAGGACAACTGCAGACATTACTCGGGCTTAAGAAAAAAGTAAAACATTAAAATAATCATTGAGCTGTTTTTATTTAAAGATAGAAAACAGTAGAACACCAGCTCATCATTCAGAGATAGTTGGACAGTAAGTCACAGAGCTCTTTGGAGTAAAGAAAGAGACTTAAGACATTATTAAGTTTAAAGGTTTAGATTTTGTATATAATATAATAACAATATTTATCAAAAAGTATCAGGTCTCTGTCAAGCAAATGATATATGTCGGTTGGATTAGCACATAACAATGCAGAAATGCATATAACTTTTTGATAATTTAATGTATACTTTATTCCTTTTTTTAATTCAAAATGGAAAAGTGATCGAATTTAATGCAACACTGTTTGTTTTCCAGATTTTGACTTTGTTTATTTATTTATTTGTATTTATTTATTTAATCGCCACCAAGGTAGCAACCACACTTCCTGAGGTCCACCCAAGGAAACGTTACATCATAATGCAAAACAATACTGTAAATTAAAATCCAAGACAAAAGGGAACAAGAAACAATAACGACCACAATGACAAGTTCCCAATCTACGTCTAAACAGTCAGTACAACATTTGATACTATACATATATAGTAGTACCACTAAAAACAGCATGTACAGTGAATGAAAAAAAATGCTTCAGTGGGAGTTCTGCAGCCAATCAGAGAAGAATCCTCAGACGGCTGCGTGATGTCATTATTCACATTATAGAGAGACGACTTCACTCATTTCACAAAGTGCAAGTTTGCTAAGAAACTTTCCATGAAGCTCGTTCCACTGCTGATTTCATCTGAGAGCCAACAGCAGCTGCGTAATGAAGGACAATTAGTGCGGCCATTGATTATGATCCCAATCTGTTTAAGTGATTATCATCATTCTCTCTTCATGATCGCTCTCTATTGATTAGTCAGGTCTGGCATTGTTTCCATGTATTGACTGTTCGGGCCTGCCAGTCAGTGCACTCTACCACACACACACACACACACACACACACACACACACACACACACACACACACACACACACACATTAAAACACACATTGAAAAACATTACAGGAACTATAAGTAAAGAAAAGAAATAGTCAAAATGAAAAACTGAAATGATGACATCTCCTGCAGAGTAAAAACCTGAATTACATTTTAAAAAATGTCCCCAGAAGTGTCTTGTGTATCCTCCACGTCTTTAAGCTCCACTGTTGCGTTAGAGTTGCGTATGTTTTCCCCTGCTGCGATTTCTCATCCTCTGTCATGAGCAGAATTTGGGGCGGAGGAAGGAAAGGAGTGCTACGCTATTATAGTTTTGAATAATTATAGTTATCAGACCTGTGTACACACACACACACACACACACAGTCCTCAGAGATAGAGGTTTTTTGCCGAGCACACAATTCTAAGGTGCAGTTTTGAGTTTTATGCATAAATAATCAATAAAGGGTACACACACACACACACACACACACACACACACACACACACACAGATACACTTACTCACCCACACTCCTCAGGCCCACACACACTCGACTGATGCAAATAACAGTGTTGTTTGCACATATGGTGTCTTGTTTTCTTGTGCCTTGTAATTTTAATGCTAAATTTCATCCGGCTGCTCACTGATGTTGGTGAGGAGGTCGGGCTCTTACTCAGCGCTGCAGTTCATCCCAAAGGTGCTAGATGGGTTTGAGGTCAGTCAAGTTTTTTCCACTTCAAACTCAGGTTGCAGTTGCCAGGCAACCAGTGGAGACTGCAGAAAGTTAATGCAGCACTGCTGAACCCCCCCCCCCCATAAAACAGTGAACTCTCATTTTTACATTTTTACAGTTTTCCCCTGTTTCATGTCTTTATGCTAAGCTAAGTCGTTAACAAAATGTCAAACTCTTCCTCTAGTACCAGCCTCAGTATGTCCCTGTCACCTGCTCCTCCTGCACAGTTAATATGTCTGTGTGTTTTTTTTTAAATTCAGTTTGCATCTTCTGCATCTTGAGCATCTGAGCCCGGGGCAGACTGACAGCTGAGTAATGCTGTTTTGGACGAGGCGAGCAGCCGCGGGGAGACAAGCAGGCTAATAGCTGCTGATATTTAGACGCCTGTAATAGAGGGCGAATCCCCCTGTTGCTCTTTAGGCTATTTATACCACGTCAGAGAGGAGACTAAATGGGTTTGTGCTGCATTTGACGACACACAGATACGCACATGTTCACACAGAGAGAAAGAAACCCCTACATTAAAATAACCTCTTCAGCCCTGCTGGACACACAGAGACCTCCACCGTTCAGAGACACCACATTTCAGCAAAAAAAACAAAAGGAAAAAAAACCAACAAAACAAACAAAAAAAAAGATAAATATAAAACATCATGTTTTGCACACAAATGTGTTGAAAAAATATGATAAGATAATTATTGTGACATTTTAATGCATTGTAAAAATAATTTATGTCTGCCATTGTGTTACTCATGGATTCAATTATAGTGAAAATAAACTATTCCCCTCTTTGCCGGGGACCCCCAGGGGTCTTTGAGGGGGTTCCTGGGACCCAGACCACACTTTGAGAACCACTGTGGTACAGTACAGAGACGTGCTTTGAGCAGCCAAATGTGTTGCCATTGTTTCTAAAACAAAAAGAGACTTATGGAGCTCCTGAAATGATTATTATTATTATTATTTTATTATTATTTTATTTATTTATTTTCAAAGTTTCTGCTGCACACCAGACGCTTGGAAAAAAATACTTTCTCATGTCATGCTCATGTCGTTTCATGGGTTTCTGCTGAAAACTATTTAATAGTATAAAAGAAATGATATATGGAAGAAAAATGAATGTAAAAGTAATATTTGGAATAAAAACACAGTACCCCAACAAACACATACGCAGACACACTCATACACACACTTAAAGTCGGGGTAGTGAGCTGGTGGTAATTTAAGACGTCTTGGTCGACCCTCACAGGGTTTTAAAAGCATGGTTGTCATTGTGGAAACAGTTTTGTAACCAAAACAACACAAACTCACTTTGATCCGAGGAATGGAGTTCATGACAACACACACACACACACACACACGTTGACATACACACCATCTTACACATGTGTGCTTGTGAAAGATGAATTGGTGTCCAGTGCGCTGCAGCCGTTGATTGTCTACTATTTCGGGTTGTGGATAAAATATCTTCTCCTTGTCAAGAGTCCGGCTGTTGCAGCATGTGGTGTTGGCATTACTGCGTAACCCCTGGGATTGGGTGAGAGAGAGAGAGAGAGAGAGAGAGAGAGAGAGAGAGAGAGAGAGAGAGAGCAGATATTTGAAGGGTGTTTGTGATGTTGTCGGAGGAAGAGAGTTGGATCGAGAGGCTGAAAGGAAGAGGGGGAAACAGAAAAGCATGGAGGAAGATGACATGAAGACAGATAGAGAAAGAGAGGGGGGGAGCAAACAGAGCCAGGAACGAGAGTCGGTCCGGCTGAGTGGGTGACTGAAAGCTGGATGCAGATCTGAACTCTTGTTAGCCGACAGCTGCAGAGTGACAGAGAGCCTCGCTGGAAGAAGCAGCTGCTGATAGAAAGAAAAACAGAGCAGCAGCGACGACACCGACAGACAACACGCCGCACT